TTTTTTTTTTTTTTTTTTGTTTTTGACGAGTGAACAGCTGCCTGTCATAGAGGAGGAATATGAGCGTCGATCTCCCGATATGAAGGAAAAATGGCGCCCAAAGAGCGCATAATTTATCACACGGAATTCTCTTGTACCAGCTGGAACATTTTACAGTGCAGTGTTGTTCATAAAAAGGCAGAAGTATGGCAAGAGAGGACATGAAAATAGCCCCATCATTGTTCCACTTTTACTTTTTCGCTTTTTTTGTCTTGGCACTGGTCTCCTCTCAGCTTTTTTATTCCTCGGTTGTTACCCCAGTCGCATTTAGACGCTTTTTCATTTTTTTTATTTTTTTATAATTTTCCAGCGAATTTTGTATGGTTTTGTTCCATCCACGTTTACAGGTTGTTGATAGCAGCGGCGGACATACAGTTCGAGAATGTGAGCCAAGTTCATTAACTGGCAATCGTTTCGTTGTTTCTACTGCTCCGTGCGCACCAGCAACACCATCTCCACAGTCTTTCGCGCAGGCAACCGTTTCTGCAGTGCAGCCATCACAAACGCAGAAAACTGATGCAATGAAAAAGCTTGTTGTTGAACAACAGGCACATGATACCACCGTCCCTCATCCTAAAGTATACAATATTTTGATTTTTTGAATTTTTGTAGAAGAAAAAACAGGAATTGTCGATAAAAGTTTTTTGGTGTATTAGAGTTAGCCGTCAAAAACTTAATTAACCACAATTAGATATGCTGGTTTTTTGATATCCTATAAGTCTAACAAATTGTTTTGATGTATTCAACTGCATAAGAGCATGTCCATTGCATTATTGCCAGCTGCACTGTTGGTGAACATTTCGAATAATTAGTAGCCCGAAGTATAGGATAAGTGGTATTTTGCAGGCAGCTTTTCGAACCACAACAGTTTTGTCACGGACGAGCTCATCAAGCAACACGACTGCAAAGGAACCGGAAACAGTAAATAATGGATGTACTTCAGTTCCATCCACTCATGTTGCTATGTCTTTTCCGGTAAGAAAATCTCAGATTTTTGAGAATATTTGAAATACTTTTGTGCCATGCAGCATGCACCGGTCAAGAATTTAAATTCAGTAAGTCAGCTGATGCAAGTTTAAAACTCTTTCTGCATCTTACTTCTTTTGAGAGATAGGGACACTCGAAAATGGTCCAGTAGGTTACACTCAGTTTCTTCCATCGTTTAGCAAATCTCCCCTTTCAAAGTTTACTCAAAGACGATCTAATGACAGGCTTTAACTCTCAAGCATTTACCAGTGCCAATTTGCTTTTGAAGCAGATGAATGTTTGATGCGGGGAATATCTTTTCTTCTTCCCAGGTACAGCAGGCGAAACGCTTAGAAAGTGAATTGACAAGCGGCAGTGAAAACCCTGTTGATGTAAATATGGAGCAGTGTTCTACAGCTGCAGCGGGTGCTGAAATAAAGCGGGTGTCAACTGCTGCGCAACATACGGAAGAAAACAAGTCAACGGTTTACAACTTCCTGACACTGGTAAGTTCGGAAGTGCCAAGTTCACACGGCCTGCCGGTGTGCGGTCTGACGCTGCTGTTAAAATTACGCCAGTACTACAAAGGAACCCTTTGGTACTAGACTGCTTGCATCCAGTTAGCACATACTTGCTGTTTAGTATGTCATTCACTAGCAGTTGCCCAGTGATCGTTTTTATGCGTTTTTTGCAGCTATGCAATGCAGAAAACGCATATTAATGAGAGGTTGTCTGTGTGTTCGTCTGTACCGATTTTTCATCTCGAGACTGGCAAAAGCTAGAGGGGTGAAACTTTGGGGACATAATCTACATGCACGTACGGGCCCCCATCCTCGAAATGGGCGGTTTCACCCGCGTCGTACCCACGTAAGTTTTTCTCGGAAAGTTGATAACTCGCGAACCAGAAAAGCTAGAAGGCTAAAATTTTAAGGGGATGTTACCCAGCTGAAACCCAGCCCGCGGGTAGGTGTGGTACTCGCGTACGGGCCCGCCAAAATTTTTCTCGGGTAAGTTCATAACTCAGGCATCTGAGAAGCTAGAAATCTGAAATCTTAGGGTGATGTTCCCGGTCTAAATGGGTATTAGCGAGCGCAAACCCAGCCCCGGGTAAGTGTGTTACCCAAGTAAAGGCCCGATAAAATTTTTCTGGGTAAGTTCATAACTCGGGGACCAAAAAACTGAAATTTTGAGGGGATGTTCCCCGTCCAACTTGGTATTAATGAGCTCAAACCCAGCTCCCGGGTAAGTGTGGTACTCGCGTACAAGCCCGCCAAAATTTTTTTCGGGCAAGTTCATAACTCGGTGATCTGAGAAGCTAGAAAGCTGAAATCTTGGTGTGATTTTCCCCGTCCAAACGGGTACTAGTGAACTCAAACCCAGCCCCCGAATAAGAGTGGTACCCGCATACGGGACCGCCAAAATTTTTTTCGGGTAA